CCACAACAACCATAAAGTTGCCCCTAATACTATCGTCCCCGAAATCCGCGAGCACGTCCCACTCCTCCTTGCGATTGTTCGAGGCGAGGGCGTTGGGCTCGGGCTTGGATATGCGCAGCTTGTTGAAGTCGCGGTCGAAGTCGTCTTCTTTCTTTTTGCCCTTCTTGGTCGAGTTGAGCGCTTTGAGGAAGTGCGGGTCTGTGTCGGGTTTGTGCTCGGCGGTTGAGGTGGGCTTTTGAGTCCCGGACACGGTTGAAGGAGGCTTGGTGTACGTTTGGGTTTGAGAGGATAGTGTCTGGCTCGACGCCGGCGGAGGCGGGACTTGCGTCTGACTCATAGCGCCGCTCGACGGCCCGATCGCGTTGAGCCCCTCCACCGCGCGCCGCTTGCGCTGGCTCTGGCTGCTCATCGTCGTGCTGGAGCCAAACCCGGGCGTCTGCGACTCCAGCGGCATGTCCATGTCCGCGTCGGGATCGTCGGCCATCTCTCGCAGCTCCTCGTCGTCCAGGTCCAGGTCCATCGCGTCCGCTTTGCGTTTCGCCCCGAGGCTGAGGCCTGGATGCGCGAGGAAGCTCGCGGTGCCCTCTTCTTCTTCTTCCGGTACCGCGCCCAGTCCTCCTCCCCCTCCACTTCTTCCACCACCAACGCCGCCGCTGTAGCCGGTGGACGGGCCAGTGCCGTGAGACTCGGCCATCTGCGACTCCTCGAATAGACCCTTGTAGCGCGATAGCTGCGTCGTGGCCTTCGACGCGGGCGTGTCGTCGTCGTCTTCGTCGAATGCGGTCAGGACGCGGTTGACGGAGTTTTGGCGGCGCGGGCGCGGGCGGGTGAGGGTGCCTTGGGTCATGGAGGGCTGTGGAGGGTAGTTCGGGTTAGTTAGATGTTGGGGATGAGTTGGGTGTGGTATAGAGGGAGACGTACGCCGGTGGGCTGCTCGGAGTTTGCCCGGGAACGCGTTGTGGGTGGTGGAGGTTCGATGACTATCGAATCGTCGTCGTCGTCGTCGAAGCCGACGTTTACTTTGCGGGTTCCGCGTCGTGGGGGCTGCAAGGTGTATCACTATACATGCTTAATATGTAGAGAGAGAGAGGTGAACGTACTCGCCGGGGTGTAGGAGCTACCTGCGCACTGTTCAACGTCGACGGAGGAGCAGTATTCGCAGAAGGCGCTGGCGCCGGCGTCATGGGCACAGGTGGCTGACTCGGTTCTCGCGAGGCCGCCCTCGCGCTTCGCCTCACAGGCTTCTTGGGCGGCGGCATGCTTATCTCGTCATCGTCGTCTTCGATTTCAATGACACGTTTCGCCGGTGTGCGAGCGTCGGCGTACGTCGGCTCGTCGGGGTGCGTGTTCTGCACAACATCTGGTAAAGCGCTTCGAGGGCCGGAGTGCGTTGAGGAGTCGATGTAGAAGAGATCGTTAAAGGCTACGGCTTGGAGGATATTTTCGGGGAGAATGAACCTGAGCCCAATGCTACGCTTCCAGTCAGCCTCCAAAGAACCTCACAGGTGGGAAGAAATATAACGCACTCTGCGGCACCCTGAACGATATCCTCCCACCTCTCCGCGCCCAGCGACGCCTCCATCCTCTCATGATCCGCCACAACGCTCACCTCCCCCGCGCGCTCCTGCGCCCAGTCCACGCCCCTCTGCAGCACCTTCTTAACCCTTGCCACGCCCCCGCCCGCCGCGCACGTCTCGTACGACCCCGCCCCGCACTCCACGACCCTTACGTACTCCTCCGGCGCGCCCTTCCCGGGTTTCTCGGTTACAAATATGAACCGGCGGTCGGCGAACAGGTGCTTGCGCTCGAGGTTGGGCGCCCATGTGGCGGGGTCTTTGAGCGCGTCGCGCAGGCCGGGCGCGAAGGCGGGGCGGTGGGACGATTCGGGGGGGAGGGCCCAGGCGGATTCGAGGGATGAGGGGTCGGTGCGCGGGAGGGAGCCGAGGCGGAGGGTTTCGGTGAGCCAGGAGGGTTTGACGAGGTGCGCGGTGAGGAGGAGGGAGGAGGCCGTTAGTGGCGTTAGGGAGAGGGAGGGGAGGAGATGGTGTGTGATTTTGGGGTGGTGCGTTTTGAGGACGTGGATGCCTTAACATTTTGATCAGTAAATGAAGTGATGTAGTTATTGGTTATTGGAGGTATATACCGAGCGAAGCGCAGCCTTCGAGGCTGACGGCCGAGTTGACCTTGCCCAACGTCTCGTAGCATACTACAGGCCTCCACCGCACCCTATATCTTGAATAAGCACATGTACACCATCATTTTCATAAGACAGTAAACATACGTGATCGAGATCTTCTGCGTGATCCAAATCTCACACCCATCCTCCAGCTCAACACGCTCATTCGGCTCAACAGCCAACCCGTCCTTCTCCGGGACGTCAATCTTGATCGTCTTGTTCGTCTGGCTGACCATCTCGAGCGTGGGTATCGAGTCAGGATTGACCTGTATCCCACAACTATGAGTGTAATGCGTGAACGGAGAGTGGGGGGAGTACGCACGACGTCGTCGGCCGTCCATCCGCCCACGATGAGCGAGCCAACGGTCTTGGAGACGGTCTTGTGGTGCACCTCGAACGAGTTACCGTGGTTGTTGCGGCCGAAGGTGTACGTCTCGCCGCATTTCAGCGTTTTGTGCTCTGCAGGATGAGACCAGCATTAGCTGAACGAGTTTGGGGAGGAAAGAGTAGGAGTAGGCGTACTGGCATAGTCGTCGGCGTGGTTTACGATTGTTGATGGGAGGGTCTCGTCTAGCGGCGCGGTGAGCACCCACATCTACTGAGGTGTAAGTGTAGAGGAGGCCGGAGAGGGGAGGAGGAGGAGAGGGCGTTCGTGGTTCGAACCAAGGCGCGTTGACGCGACGCGACGCGTCGTGGGATTGTAAGGTCACGCGAGGTGATAGGGGCACATCGTGGTTGCTGTGGCACCAGCCTCATGTTCCTCATCCAGACGTCGAACGCAGGAGACTGGGCACCATACGATAGAGTCCTATATGCACCAGGATGCAGCGAGCGATCCAGTGGACCTTAAACCCGGCATCAGCTCCGTGCTTAGTGCAAAGAACACGGTTGCTACACGCGATTTTACCCATTGGTTCGCCTTGTACCCATCCTCAATCCCTCATTCGCAGTCCCAGTTCTTGCATATCCCGTTCAGACCTCGCCAGGGCGGTTCTGCACGAAATTATGCTCTAGCTCTGGCTTACTGATGCTCCCGTCTGAAGTTCTCGAGCTCATCTTTCATGCACATCGATGGAGTGAATGTCCTCTCTCCGCCACCGTGATGTAGCTATTTTCCGACGCTTTTCTGGACGCCACATAGCCCTATCACAAACCAGTCCTGAAACTCGCAGCCTCCACGGTCCACAGCTACAGAGTTATCTTTACCTACCGGCTGCAATCATTGGGTTTCATCAGGGTTCTTGAAGACTTGTCGACGGGGCTGAGCGGCTCTTCGATACCTCAGACTAAACACGAAGACTCGTACACTGGTCCGCACAGGCCCATCTCATTGCATTCAGTAAGAATAGTTTTGTGCGAGTTGCGTATCCCTATGCCGCCAAGCGCCACAAACGTCCACGGAGTCAACGATGGCATCGAAGTATAGGGTGCAGCAATCTTGTCTGATTTAGCTTGTTCGTGCCATCCATGAGACCCATTGAGTATTCGAATACGCTTAAAATGTCATATCCATATGCAGAGTAGGATGAAGCGCATACCACGCCCGTCGAGATGAAGGTTGGAGACACGAGGCTCGCACTGGAAGATCACGAAGGCACCATGACGTCGTGATGCGGTACAAAGTCTAAAGGCCTTTGCCGATAAGCTTGTCGTATCCGGCTTGCCGGCATGTAGTTCATCTCTTTGTGGGCGTACTCGCGCGTGTATGGGCGCCAGAAGTAGACGATGCAGCGAAAGACGCTGGCAGATGGTGGTCGTAAAGAGGACGCGGGAAGATAGAGCCTTGTATAGAGCGTGGGTGCGTATTGATGGCGCGGTACGCCGCGACGGCTCTCGGCTTGCTCTCGACTACACCACCACCACCGCCGCAGTCACGCTTTCCATCGCCGTCGCCGTCGTCGACCATGGCCAGCTCATACGCGAGCTCGTCCTCCCGAGGCTCCTCACCGACAACACCGCCCATAGTGCAGCCCGACCACTTCTACGGCTCCGAGAACGCGCCCATCACCCCGCGTTCGGACGGGCGGACGTGGTTGGACCCCGAAGACGATCCGAGCGCGTCGAGGGGTATACCCGTGTTTAAGCCTACTATGGACGAGTTCAGGGATTTCGAGGGGTACATGAAGAAGGTGGAGTGCTGGGGTATGAAGAGCGGGATAATCAAGATCGTTCCGCCCAAGGAGTGGTACGCGTCTTTCCCTCGCCACTCGATACTCTATATAGTTGCTTATACTATGCCACAGGAAAGACTCGCTGGGACCTATCAACGACAAGCTGGCCGAGGTGAAGCTGAACCACCCGATCGAGCAACACATGGTCGGCCGCGCCGGCTTGTTTCGCCAGAAGAACGTCGAGGCGTACAAGCGCCTGTCCGTGCGCGAATGGGCGGAGCTGTGCGAGAAGGACGAGTACCGCGCGCCGGGCGTGGACGAGGTCGGACCGCGTCACGCGTCGCGATCGACGCGCGCGCCCAAGAAACAGCGCAAGCAGACCACAGTCGAGCCCGTCTCGCCCGTCTCCGCAACCGAGCGACTCGCGTCAGAGGCGCCCACGGAGGATGGAGGATCGGCCGAAAAGGCGAAAGGAAAGAAGAAGAGTCGCACGCACGCCGACAAGCTCGCCAAGCTTTCCGCACGCGCCACGCTCGACCGCGCATTCTTCGACGACTTTGACCCAGACACGCGTTGGTTACCCGAGGGTACAACACCGCAGGACTATACGCCCGACTTCTGCTCCGAACTTGAGCGTCAGTACTGGCGCAATCTCGGTTTCGGCCGGCCGGCGCAGTACGGCGCCGACATGGCCGGGTCGTTGTTCAACGACCCGTCGACGCCCTGGAACGTCTCGTGCCTGCCCTCCGCACTCGAACGTCTCATGCCGCGCGACAAGTACCCGACGCAGGGCGTCAACATGCCGTACCTATACTTCGGCATGTGGCGCGCGACGTTCGCGTGGCACGTCGAGGACTGCGACCTCTTCAGCATCAACTACATCCATTTCGGCGCGCCGAAGCACTGGTACGCTGTCCCGCAGGCGCGCGCGGACGCGTTCGAGGGCGTTATGAGGGGCTTCTTCTCCGAGGGACAGGGACCGAAAGCCTGTCCGCAGTTCCTCCGGCACAAAGCGTTCCTCGTCTCGCCCACCATCCTCGCTAAATCGTCCTGCCGCCCGAACACGCTCGTGCAGCACTCGGGCGAGTTCGTCGTTACGTACCCGCGCGGGTATCACGCTGGATTCAACTTGGGCTTCAACTGTGCGGAGAGCGCGAATTTCGCGCTGGATAGCTGGTTGGAGCGGGGCAGGAACGCGCGGGTGTGTGAGTGTGTGGACGATGCGGTTAGGATCGATGTGGATGAGCTGTTGAGGGCGAGGGAGGAGGAGAGGGCGGAGGAGGAGCAAGGGGGTGCTGTGGTGCATCCGCCTGCGCCTGCACCGGCTTATGCGCCTATGGCTGCACTGCTACCGCAGCCGGAGCCGGTTGTTAATGTCGAGCAGCCGATATTTGCTATCGACCCGGCACTTCTCATGCTGAATCCGCCGCCTAAACCCAAACCGCCTCCGCCTCAGCCCTCTCAGACACTCACGTTCACCCTTCCGCCTGCAACTTCATCATCCACGCCTTCATCATCAAGCTCCAAACCGCCTCGCAAGCGCAAGTCCGACGAGGCGCCCTCTAGCCCATCGAAGAAGTCCAAGACAGCCTCGTCGTCGAAATCGGCGTCTGGACCGACGATCAAGCTCCCTGCGCGTCCCGCCGCAGACGCGAATGCCGATAGCAGCTTCCCGTGCTGTCTCTGCGCATCATTGTCGACGGCCGATTTGTTGCCTGTACACGCTCGGCCTGCGGGGTCTCACGCTGCATGGGCCGGTACGCGTGTTGTCAATGACAGGTGGATGGCGCATGAGGGTTGTGCGATGGTTATCCCCGAGACGTATGTCGATACTGTTGGAGGGCTGGAAGGAGGGGAGAAGATGGTGTTTGGGATTGATGCGATCGTCAAGGACCGGTGGAACCTCGTACGTTCCTCCCATATCGACCAGTGCCAGTGTTAAAGGTGTACTAACGATGATGATGTGTCACAGCGCTGCATGGCCTGCAAATCCCCGCGCACCAAAACGCACGGCGCGCCCATCCAATGCACCAAGGGCCGCTGCCCCAAATCCTACCACGTCACCTGCGCGCGCACCAGCCCGGAGCTGCACTTCGCGCTCCTGCACGCCGTCGACAGGGAGTTCCCGATCCCGGGCGCGCCGACGATCGACGTCGGCCCGGCGTACCCGCCCATCGTGCCGATGAAGAGGGTGCGGAAGTGGGAGGCCAGCGTGTTCTGCGCGCAGCATAATCCCGAGGCGATTCGGAGGAAGGTGGAGGCGAGGGAGGATAAGCTTAGGAGTGTGATGGTGGGGCTGAAGCCGGGGTCGAGGGTGAAGGTGCGCGTGCATTCGGGCGTGGTGAGTGGTCTCTCTTTCACCCTCTCTTCGTGTAGTCGGGAAGAGTGCCGATGCGTGTGTGTGTGCAGTTCGAGGTGAGCCTGGTAGGCGTGGACGAAGAAGCGAGGACGGTGGATGTGCTCTGGGACCGCGCGATCCAGCGCTCGTTCAAATGGGGAAGCGTCGTCTTCGACGAGGCCGGCTTGGGAAATCTATCACCTGGGGCGGTCATCCTGAATGCGCCATCGCAGACCCAACCCGCCGCGGCTTCGACATCCACTACCTCGGCTCCACCCAACCCGAACACGAACCCGTACAACCAACACATGCAGTACCTCCAACAATCCCAACAATCCGCCGCCCAAACCGCCTCCGCCTCCGCCTCTCAATCCCAGCCGAACACGCAAACCCAAACAACACGCTGCCCCCCAATCCCCTACATCCCCCCAGTCCAAACGACCGCCTACCAGCCGCGCCCCCTCGTCC